GTTCGGCCACTCAACTGACTGTGCCACCCAGCACCCTTCCAACCATAACACTTCTAATTGGTCACCATGTCATTGTCTCATCCTTCTCCCACTCCCCAATTTCTACATTGCATATTGATGCCAAGGCTAATCTTAAAATGTTGATTGAATTGTATTATGTCCCCCACCACACTGTACTGGTAGTTCGCCCAGTTATTTATAGAATTTAAAAGCTCTTTAGCCTGACTTTCAAGAGTCTGTAATATAGCCCTGAATTATAAGCCACCTTGACTTTCCTCTTATAGGAGGAGCCTGGAGTTTATTCTTACCCCTGCTAGCATGCCCTTTACTACCTTCCCAATCAAAATACTATCCCTTTGTCAGGATCTGACTGGTAATAGACCATTTTCACAAGGCTTTTTTGGATAAATTTAATTACTGTTGATCTTTTGGTTTTCTGAATTCTTTAGCACTTTTTGTCAGCCCCAATGACTCTTGTATTAAATTCGGCTTTTCATGTGTCTTAATTTTTTAACTAGGTTTAGTTTGGATATGGGTTTAGAGGAAGGGAAATGAGAGCAAAGAGGTGGATGGACCTTGCCTTAGCATCTTCTTTAGAACTTAAGGTAGCTTTCTTATGCTTTAAGTAATGACAGTTATATAAATTTCAAACTCATTCTTCGGTCTACGACTTCCTTGATTGGTCAGGCAACTCTTTAAGTCTGAAAGCATTGATTTAAAACAAGTAAATGGAAAAATGAGACCCTTGCACTTTTTTTTTTTAATTTCATCCATTAAATTACTTGCTTTTTCTGCTTGTTTTGAAACTTAGTAAGAATAAGGTCCAAATCAAACCAGAGTTCTTTCTTTAATCTCATAGATAAATTTGAGTACCTACATGTGTATGTATATCACTTTATTATATTGTACTTACTAGCAACATATACCGCACTCACATAAAAAAGGTCTAAAGATAATATCTGAGTTTTTGTGTTGATTGGTTTCAGATTGTCTGCAGACTTAAATGAACTCAGAGAATCAGGTTAGTGCTTGCTCATTACCCAGGTTCTGTGAAGATGATTTCAAACAGACAGTAAGGTCTTACCCTACTGGGTGTGGAGACAGAAACACCACAAAGTGGCAGCACCTGGATACTGTATTGTCAAGGGGTTTGATTGTGGATACAAGCAGTAGTCAGTGGCTATGGGAATTCTATCTGAAATGGACCAGTGTGGAACAGGCTACTTAAGGAAGATTTCTTTGGTGTCTGGGTATTAGGACATTGGGGTTGAAAGTAGAGAGTTAGAAGCTCATTTAGAATAGAAGTGGAAAACATGGAGGTGAGGGTAGAAAGTGAATAAGTAGGATTTGGATAAGCAGTAGACTGTTCCTGGCTTCTAATCTTTGTGTACTTATGTCTGGATGAGTTAGAGAGGTGGAAAGCACAGATGGGGAGAGTGAGATGTTAACTTTATATATTCCTTGAGACCAAAAGGAAGTATGAAAGATAGAAACACCTGTCACTTAGGTTTAAGAAGTTTCAATACCAGTCTCTATACAGCAGGAAGACCTAATATAGAAATGCATGGTTTTTCTGTGGAGAAAAGTGCCTTTGAACATTTCTATTTTAGCTGCTTTTTATGGACTGTTTATCTTTTTGATGTTGAGAATAGCAGATATGTCTTAAACACTTATGCAGGTAAGGAGGAAAATGCCCAATAACTTGATTCTTTTCTTTAGCATGTTTCTAAAATTCATCTAATTCTTTCCAGTTTCTCATTATTATGGGAGTATTCTGCTAAAGGCTTATTTTGCAGATGACTTCTCAGAAAGTTCTTTTTGAAGTCCTCTGTAATTGCATGAAGATAGGAAATACGAATTTGTGCCTTTTACATTTCATGTTTATATTTGGGTTAGATGGATGGTTGTAAAATTTGCTCAACTGTTGTAGTTAGTGAGGCATCCAGTGGAAATCTGTCCATGGAGAGATGGCATGTGGTCTGAGGAGAGTTGATTTTTGCTTTCCCTTTTCACCTTTGACTTTTTGTGCCTTCTCATTGCCTTAGCTCTTTCTGGATTTGGTGGGGGTTTTTTGTTGTTTTGTTTTGTTTTGTTTTTGGTGCAAAAAGATGGTTTATTAAAGCATGGGGACAGGACCTGTGGCAGAAAGAGCTGCTGCCTGGATTTGGTGTTCTTGTATAGAGTATTTCTTTTTCTTTAAAACCTAGATAAGTTAGGGGCTCCTGGGTGGCTCAGGTTATGGTCTTGGGGTCTTGGGATCAAGCCCCGTGTCAGGCTCCCTGCTCGGCGGGAGGCGTGCTTCTCCCTCTCCCCCTCCCCCTGCTTGTGTTCCCTCTCTTGCTCTCTCTCTCTGTCAAATGAATAAATTTTAAAAAATAAACCTAGATAAATTATATTAATTTATATTAATATTAAGATTTTAATTTATTTTATAATTTATAATTATATTATTATATTAAGAATCTGCTAATTTTAGTATTGGGTATTTATAATGGCAAGGATTGATTTTGAAGTTCTGACAACTCCCTAGCACAGATTTACCTCTCCAGTTAAGAAGAGGAAAAATGCAAGAAAAAGAAAATAAACAGGAAAAAGGAAAGAACATACACCTATTTACTTTGTTCATATTTTACCTTTTAATATTATTAGATTTATCCATCTCTTCCTGTGCCTATCTCCAGCCCCAAAAACCCACCACTGTGAGTCTTTCTTTCAAGTAAATGTTTGAAGAAATGTCAAGGGTCTTGAATTCCTATATGGAAAACAAAGGCTGGAAGAGGGAAAGTAACAGCTGCTTTGTATACAGTTTAGGTACAGTAAGTTCTAGACCAATTCTGCCATTGGCATTTCTGTTGCTTAGGGTAGTGGGCAAGATCTCTGAAAGGTTAAGCAGAAACTTTCCCATCAGGGTACCTTTTTCTGCAAAAGGGTGTGAAAATTGATTCCTTTTTGTGTGTTTGGTGGCAGTTATTTATTGTGTTTGTAAAGTAGTTCTCAAGAACAGTTGGAACAGAAGTATAGGAAGGAGGGCGAATTTTTTTTTTTAATTTGTTTACTTTAGAGAGACAGAGTGAGCCTAACCGGGCAGGGCACAGGAAGAGGGAGGGAGTATGGAACCCGAAGCAGGGCTCCATCTCACAACCCTGAGATCAGGACCTGAGCTGAAACCAATAGTCAGATGCTCAACCAACTCTGACCTACGTGCCCTGAGTGTGAACTTTTTATACTAGTTCCTTTTTTTTTTTAAGATTTTATTTATTTATTTGACAGAGAGAGAGAGAAAGCAGAAGCAGGGGGAGAGGCAGGCAGAGGGAGAGGGAGAAAGAAGCAGGCTTCCTGAGCCCAGTGTGGGGCTTGATCCCAGGACCCTGGGGTCACGACCTGAACTGAAGGGAGACGCTTAACCTACTGAGGCAACCAGGTGCCTCTATACTAGTTCCTTTTTAATCTTTTACTCTCATAACATAATATTAGGGAGCATATTCCTTGTATCTGAATATGGGACCACCTATGTAGTAGTTAACTTCGCATTTCTTAGAAAAATATTTAAATATTAACCCCACATACTCTTTTTTTTTTTTAAAGATTTTATTTATTTGAGAGAGGGACAAGTAGACTTCATGTGGAGTGGGGAGCCCAACACAGGGCTGTAATCCCAGGACCCCGAGATCATGACCTCAGCCACCCAGGCGCCCCACACACACTCTAATTTTAATCTTGATTTTCTTTTAAATAATTGGCTTATCAACAAAACAACATACTAGAGCAAAATTTAAGAAAAGAAATAGCACTAAACATTTACCCACTAGACTAATGATTTGTTAATACTTTTGCCATAGATTTTTTTAAGCCTTTTTCCCTTTTCTGAATATTTTTAAAACACAAACTTGTCAAAAAGTGGTAAATCTTGGTATCAGTTTTTGTTGAAGTTAACAAATTACTCCACTGTCTTTTAAAATAACTTTTTCTTAAAATTTTTTTTTATTGGCCAGTTTTCTTTTCAAGCAGAATCTTATTTTATAGGCATATAGAAACTTGAAATCATTTATTATAGTGATTCCTAATCCTTGGAATCTCTAAAATTAAAAGTTAGCTATTCCTTGAGTTTGGGGGGGACAAATAGTGTATTTACCCACAGTAATAAAGCATTGGATAATTAAAACAGGGCTCCAGTAGAAAGCACATGTCATCTTTATGGTAATATTGGTTATTTTTGGTAATCAAACTAAGCAAAACTGTGACTCCTTTTTTTAAAAAAGAACAAGTAATTATTGATTAAATACAACTTGGTAGTAAATGGGACAGGAGTTCTAACAAAAGGGATCTTTGCTTTGTAAGATTGGTATAGTCTCCTTCATTTCTTCAGTTAGGAAGTAGTATCAGGTGAGATTAAGGAATTTGGCAGAAGTCATGGGAATCAGTGGCAGATGGATATAGAATTCAAATGCTCTGGTAAGAGAAGTGTTAAGGTTACTGTGCAAGTTCTATCTTAATATGACAGTGGGGCCACTTGACAGAAGAAACTCTCCTTACCCTTAATTTTGTGTTGGGCAGTATAGTCAGTTCATGGACTCATCATCTGAATAGAGGAAAACTTTAAACCTTAAGTAAAACCTAACTGGGGCACCTGACTGGCTGTCAGTGGAGCATGCCACTCTTGATCTCGGGGTTGTGAGTTCCAGCCCCACATTGGGTGTAGAGATTACTTAAAATGTAGATTAAAAAAAATATATGGTACCTTTATTTATTTACTTATTTTTAAGGATTTTATTTTATAAGTAATCTGTATACCCAGGTGGGGCTCAAACTCCTAACCCCCGGATCAAGAGTGGCATGTTCCACTGACTAGTCAGCCAGGTGCTTCTGTGGTAACTTTGATAAAATAAATAGATAAGGAAAACTGTCTTATTATTAGAGCTTAAGAATTTTAGAAATTTAGTGATATTAAGTGATAATCACCTTTTCCTAAAGCTCTCCCTTTTCCCCTTTTATTTTGTTAGGTGGTATGGTCAAGAAAAAGACTACAATGTGCTAGTCATGGATCTTCTTGGACCCAGCCTTGAAGACCTCTTCAATTTCTGTTCAAGAAGGTTCACAATGAAAACTGTACTTATGTTAGCTGACCAGGTATGTGAAATTTTGATGAAAATAAAAAAAATTGAGAATACTCATAATTTAATTATAATATAAATTTTTATAAACCAGAGTATGTATAATCCTGTGCTATGTAACCTTAGGTTCAGCAAAAATAAAAAAGATATAATAGTAGGTTGTACTCATTCAAGAGTACTACTTTAATAAGATTTAATAGAGGTTCTCCTGTGGCATAGGACAGAAATGGATTATATTGGTACCCAGTAGTTTTCAAGTTGTTCATCAGATGGAGTCTGTTTTAGTGAAGATTATAGAGGTTTCTTTATAAGATTTTTGAAGAAAGCGCTCAATATATAAAGATGCTGTGGAAGAGAGTAACATTTTTAACATTTAGATTGGATGTCAAAATAAAATGAGATGATACCCTGGCATTTGAATTAGAATTTTTAAAAATATAAATTCAAAGGATTAGAAAATAGTGTTCATTCTCTGTAATCACCTGATATTCTAGTAAGATTAACAAAAAAAACCTCTTGAGTGGTTCAAGCAAATATTAGCAAATTACATTGTTTTATTTGTGGTATGTTAAGAACTCAAATGTTGAAGGTTAAGATCCTCCTAATATGTTTTAACTAACATGTGAATGAATCCTAATAGAAGAGTTTATATTCTGTAGGTTCTGTAACACATAGGTATTAACCAGTGAACATTTATTCAGGGCCTTCTGCTTTACTTAGAACTAGAGGGTGCAAAGAAGAATAAGAACTCTAGTCCCTTTCCTCTGGGAGTGTACAAGTTCAGGAGAGAAAAATGGAAAAAACTACGTTCAAGATTTTGTGATAAAAGTCTATCTTGGGTACACTGGTAACAGAAAAAAAATGTAGTTCAGGGAATGGGGTTGCATTAAAGCAATAGTTTAAGGAGGTAGCTGCTAAGTCTTGGCTCTGTAGATGATAAAACTTGAAGGTAAGTAGTTGGGGCCATTTATTATCTTTTGCCACACTTTTTCCCAGTGAATCAATGATCCTGGTTTAATGGGTATCACTTAGACTAGGACAAGTAAGTACATTAAGTGAGAGAAATGTTTTTTTCTTCCTTTAATAAAGTACAAGTTGCTGCTATAACTAAAGGTGCTATTTGGACATTGTATACATCTATTTCCTTGAAAGTATAAATAGTTTGATTATAGATTTGGCTTTAAGAGACATTTGTCAGAGTTCAGAATCTGTATGGTAATAAAAGCTCTAGGGAAAGTGGGGACGAATAAGTAGAATCCTGACACATACTACTGAGAAGAGCAAAAACATATGTATGGGTAGAAAGATAAAGTTAGTCTTTGGGTATTGAAAATATTTTCAAATACTTTTAAGTATCTTACAGAAAAGATAGACATATTTGATAATTTGACAATTAAAACTATTCTAGAAGTGATGCCATAGTAACAAGACAGTTTTTTAAAATTTATTTACATAACAAATGACAGAAAAGATTGTTATATGCACAGAATTCTTAAAATCGGTAAGAAAAGGACAAGCCAAAAGAATAATGGACAGAGGTACAGATTGGCAGTTCCAGAACAGCAGACTTTTAAACTGTTAGTGAAGAAGTGAGGTCAATACCTGTCATATTGGCAAAATTTAGAAGGAACTAAAATAAGTTTGCCAATGGGAAAAGAAATACTCTCAAGTATTGCTGGAAAATGAATTGTTAGAGCCTTTTTTTTTTTTTTTTAATTAATTTATTTATTTGAGAGAGAGTACATGAGAGGGGGGAGGGTCAGAGGGAGAAGCAGACTCCCTGCTGAGCAGGGAGCCCGATGCGGGACTCGATCCCGGGACTCCAGGATCATGACCTGAGCCGAAGGCAGTTGCTTAACCAACTGAGCCACCCAGGCGCCCGTTAGAGCCTATTTTTAAAGACAATCTGGTGCCACCTATCAAAATGATAGCTACTTCGACCCAGCCACTCTCCCTACAATTGTATGGGGTTTATAGCCCATAGAAATAAAAGCACTAGTAGGTAAGGATGTATTTAATTGAAATATGTTAACAGCATTATTGTTCACAGTGAGAAGATGTTGGGAACAGTGGGAATAATGGTTTAGGAAAACTTAATCTATATCATAGACTATTTATTTATGGCCGTTAAAAAGAATGCTAAGACTTACACCATTTGACTTGGCAGAATTTCCAAGAAATTAAAAAAAGGTTATTAGAATGACATCCTTACTATTCAGTTTTTGAATGTGATTACTTGTGTGGAGAAAAAAACAAGGGAGACTTCAAAAAGCATCTAAGAAATGAAACATAGCATGTGTATGTTCCCATGTTTTGTGTTTATGTTGTATGCTACTAACTTCCAGGAATGTTTAGTTAAAAAGAAGCAAAGAAGAATAAAATGAATAGGATGCTTTTATTGCAGTTAAAACAGTAACAGCTTGTATTTTTCAGTTGGTCAACATCTCCATTCCCAATTACATGAGTTCATACGTGTGTGTAAATAAGAGTATGGAAATGGGTAATGCCAGGCTATTGTAACACAGGTTACCTCGGGGCAGAGAATTGGGTGTGGAAAGTTGATGATTAGCTCTAACTGAAACAATTCTAAATTTACTACTTTTGTAATTTAAAAATTGCAAACACCAGTTCTTCCTACCAGGTTAGATGTTATGTTTATAATCAATACTAGAACATGCCAAAGAATGGGGCAGGTTTATGCTTCAGTATCCATGCCCTTTACATTTAATTTTGTCTAGCACTGTCTTTGTGAACTCTAAATGAAGTTGTTAAAATATATCTGTGATCTTGAGAAATAATTGAGAAATAATGTGTCGCTTTCTTGTATCACAATTCAAATTACATAATTATCTCTCACCCCCTCCTTTTTTTTTCCAGATGATCAGTAGAATTGAATATGTGCATACAAAGAATTTTATACACAGAGACATTAAGCCAGATAACTTCCTAATGGGTATTGGGCGTCACTGTAATAAGGTTAGTCAAATGTTCTTTGCATGAAAGAACAAAGAGTAAAAACTCCAACAATTGCTTTGATAGACTTTCAGTCTTTAAGAAGTCATAGGAAATTGTATTTGCTGTTGATGATTGCTTTAAAAGATTGTGCTAGAAGGGTAATCAGCTAACTCTATTAACTTAGTAACTTGAAATAAATTTTCTCCCAACTTACCCAATCAAGGTTAATTATCTATATGGAAATATAAAATTCCCAAGGGCTTTATAATGAAATGTAATTATCTGTTGTTTAATTATGAAACAGTTGTATCTATTTTTCACTCATTCAAGTAGTAAAAAACCCCATATACTTTTTTTCCTGAATGCTAAAATCAGATTTTAACCTTTGTCTCTGAAGTGTGGGTTTTTGTAATATATGTGTTCGTGCCAGCGTGGGAACCACTGACCCATCTGTCGCCATGGCGTTAACATTTGCTGACTGAGCATGATCATAATGAGAATTCTTCAGTCCTTGGATTTGTGTATTCAAAAGGATAACTTTTGGGCCTGCTTCAAAAGTAGTTGACAGTTTCTTACTTGGGTGCCAAGTTGGGTGGATTCTCCATCCTTCCTTCCCCTTTCAAAGGAAAATATATAGTCAAGTGAAATGAATATTCATACAACAAAATTAGTATTCATTGGGGTCTCAGAATGGTTAACATACGGGGTGATTGGGTTTTAGCTAGTGACGCATGACTGCAGTTAGAAACTAATTGTGTTGAAACTTTATCTGCAATGATTAGTTTTATTGAGTGAATTGCTTTATTTATCGATTCAATGTTGAGCTCGGGCAGACAGGCAGCATTGGCAATGCACTAAGCATGTTATGATCTGATGATCTGATAGAAATTCTCAACTTCAGGACAACTTGGGGCTTTTTGGTTTTTGTGGTTTTTTGTTTTGTTTTGTTTTTGGAAGGAAGATTCCCATTTGTTTTATTAAATCATTAGGAAATGTTTGGTGTTTTTAGGTCTGGCTATAAATGTTTACCTTTGTTTGCCTGTATGAATGCCAACTTGTAGCCATTACCATTAGAACTGGTGTTATTTGTTAATGTGTGAGACATTAATGTTGGTCTGACCAAGTTTTAGGAAATAAATTTTTTTTGTTGAAAGCTAAACTTTAAATAATGAAAGTTGTGTATATCGACATATAACTGATCTTGCCATTCCCAAATTGCATCTTTTTTTTTTTTTTTTTTTTTTTTAAATATTATGTAGCTTCTCTCTCTGAAGCATCCAGGTGCTTAATTGTTATTGCAAAACCTGGTAATTGAATTGAAAACAAATTACTGGTCTTAATTTTTGGGGCAATTTTGTCAATTTGACCCTGATCTTTTGGCCATTTCCCAGCCCTCCTTCCCCATTTTCTTCCTGCTAAAGACCCATTATCCTCTTGTGATCTGTGTTCTGCATGTCGACATTGCAGTACATGGTTTTTGTCTTAAAATTAAATGATGACCTAGATAATACCTCTTTGCTCCCCCTCCCTTTAAAAATAGCTTGTTAATTACATGTTGTGTTAGGATGTCCAATTTGCCCCATGATGAAAACCTTTTTAGGATCTTGTGTCCTCTCTAGAGGTAATAAAATACTGTGGAGCTGCTTGCTGTTAATAACGGTTCAGAGACCCTAGGGTAGAAGTGCAGTGTTTCACTTAACAAAGATCCAAATTCTAAATGTTCTTGAACATTTTAGATTAGTGTTTTGTTTATGTAGTTGGTTTTTAGTGTTTTCCTTCTGTATTGTAGTTTGAAAAAAATGCCAGTTTTATGAGACTGGATTCTTTGGTTAGCTTGTTGTAGTAGTTTTCTATTAATGGGGGAGAAAGAGTGGGGGGGCTTTTGAGTTTTTTGTTGTTTTTTTTTTTTTTTTTAAGTCAAATTTCTTAATTTGGAAAATTGTTCTGAATTTGATATTTAGGAGTGACCACTCCAATCTTAGTGAATTTGTTCATCTCTTCCAGTAATCAGCCCTGCATGCTTATGAAAACCAATTTTGAGGTGACTAAATGCCTTCTACCTCTTCCTTACTGAAGATTTTTTTCCCCTGTACAATCTTTTTTGGGGGAAGGGCAGATTGTGATACCAAATATTCCAGAACCAAATTCCCCAGTTTTGATTAAAAAATTAAAGAGCCAAATGTCACCATTGCTATCCCTGATTCAGGCAGTGACACAATATAGTGGCATTAAAAACTTGAGTATTTTCCAGAATTCAAATGTTCTTGAGCATGTGATTCTTATTTGGAAAACTGAGAAGCTACAGTGCTTGGTGGAAGAAGGATGGCATTTGGCTACCCTGTTCTTTCTCTAATGCCTCGGTGTTGCCTGTCTGCGCCGGCCATTGTTGCAATGTAAGCAATACTGTTTGATGCACTGCCACCCTCTATTGTCTGTTTAGTGTTTAGAATCTCCAGTGGGGAAGAGGAAAAGAAGCATGACTGTTAGTACTTCTCAGGACCCATCTTTCTCAGGATTAAACCAGGTCTGAAACTGTCTCCTATTCCAACCTCAATCCCAAATTCATGTGCTTTTCTTTTTTATTGTTTTATTTTGATTATTTTTGTTTTGTTTTAATTCTGGAGAATGTAGATCTTGCTCAAGCATCTCTTACGTTGGCATTATTCAGACATACTTGGCAAACATATAACATTACTAAGATTTTTTTTTTTTTGTGGCTTTTGCTTAAAATTTGTAAAGTTTAGAGAAAACCTAAATGAAAACAGGATTATGTTTAGATCTCTAACATCCACATGAGGAAATGATATGTTGGTCTTGTGTTGAAATTCTTTGTCTAATGGTAAACTTGAGATAGACTGTTAGTTTTTAAAAATGTATTTGGAGTTGCAGAACTTAATGCATGAAATACATCTAAATTCAGTGCATCAGTGCTGTATGATGAATATATTCTGCATCAACTCTCTTCCCCTTCCCTAGTGAACTTCAGGTAAGTGTAGATCAGATTTGAGATCTAGTGTTTGTAGAATTGATTTTCCCCAATCTGTGAATTCTCCCAACTTCAACCAAATGGCGTGAGATGCTGAAAGAGCATTATATGCTCTGGAACTAGGAGACATTGCAGTCTAACAGTATAACAGTAACATCATTGAAGCACTTATCAAACAGTTACCAATTAATAACACATAAGATAAAGGAATGCATAACCTGATGATTTAGTGTTTGGCAGGCTAAGTAAACACCCCAGTAATTTTCTTAAAATTTTTTTATGTAGGTGGAACTCTAGAAGTTAGTGAGCTTCGTTAATTAAGCTCTTGAGCAAATAAATGAATCATCATTCAATTTAGTATATACTGAGAAAGGAAGTATTGGCATGAGTAATCAAAAGAGAAAAGTTGTATTTGGTGTATCAACATACTTTGTAGTTTCAAAGTATGTTCCATACTTTGTACCACATTCATCATCTGGGTGATCATTTAATTCTTTTCCAGCGTTATTCCAGGTACCATCTTCTCCTGCTGTTAAATAGGTTTCCGAAATTCAGACTTATTTTCATTCACAAAGAAGTAACAATTGTGATTGATTCTTAGTTGGAGCGTGGGAAGAGGGGTTGCTGGGTAATTAGGCACATAATAAAGCACCTAGTGCCCCATTTTTGCTTATCCATTCATTCACATGTTTAATTTATATTTTGTAGCATAATCATTTAATAATTTCCATAAAATTGTTTATTTTCTCTGCATACAGGTTAGCTGGGTTGTGAAGAAAAGTGAACTTGTGAATTTTTTGGAAGGGCAGGGAAAAGTGGCCCCTGGTTAAGAGAAAAATTGCTAGATATACTGCAAACTAAAATTAGCTTTAGTGTTTCTGAGGAAGGTGCACCTCTGCTGGATGGAGTTACCCCAGTATATACAACATTAACTCATTACTACATGCCTTTGAAGAATAGGCTGCATTCTATAAAACAGGCAAAAATTTTACTTGGAACACAAAACACAAATCCACAGAAAAGCAGCTTGGCCCACCAAAGAAATTAGACTTCTTTTTGTATATGCAAACCTGTAAAAAATACATTATCTTACGACTTACTGAATATTGACTTTTCCTTGTTTGATTCTTTATATATTTGCGGCTGTTTGGATGTATCTTTGGTATCCTGTGGTGTCATGTAAACACTTCTATTATGTTTGTATTCATTTTTAAATTCAAAACAGAGGGCTACTAATGAAACTTGATAGGTACCACCAGAAAATGATGAACTACCAAGAGATTTAGATTTTTTTAAATTTTGAATAATCTTTCTCTTCAGTTGTTTGCTCATAAAATAAGATAGCTTTGTTTAGCAGTGAAATTATTTTTCCTGACTTACTCTCAGGTTTTGTAAGAGAAAATTTAGAGTTGATTGGCTTTGTAGTTTTTTGTTTCGATATTAAAGTTTGAGATATTTGAGAAGATAGTGTTTGTTTTCTTAATAAACTACATTTCATCCTTTAGAGTTGTGGAAGGAAAGAACTTTAGTAAACACTGAGTTTTTTATAAAATCTTAAAAAGTTGTGAGAAAATGTCTGGTTATTGAGTTGCAAATGGAGCTACTGAATGTAGACTTACGAATGAAACTATCAGGTATAATATGTCAGAGTTCCTATCTTCTCCTCTATTTTGAAGTATTAAAAGAAGCAATCCCAGAAAATATCCTTTAGAGGAGAGTCTATGTCCTAATCACCTTTTATTTAGAACCCACATAATTCTTAGGGGTATTTTTAAAAATACTATGAAGCTGGGTGTCCTTTTTGTGTTTGTTTTTGCCTTGTTTTCTTTTCAATGTGACTCTGCAGAATCTTAAGTCATACTTTTTGGTTTGCTTCACAGAAATGTATTTTGCTCCTTTTAATATTTATATGCTGAGCCCATTTTCATATCAAGAGAAACTTAAAAGAGTGTGAGCTTTATTTCTCTTTGTGTTTTATAAGACTTTCTCATAGACGTATAATAATGTGATTGCTGAGGAAGTGAATTTAATCTACTAGAGAGCTCTCATCCAGTTAAATTTTACTAAAAATGTAATCTTCCTTCTTTTATAGTAGACCAGGTAAAAATAAGTATCTCATTGTTACATTGGTGACATAAGCTCAAACCTCCATGTCTTTCCCATCCCGATGTCCAGTTAAGGCCAGGGTACAGTGCCTGCCTGATATAAGTGTTTTTCTTTTTCTTCTTTTCTTTCTCTCTCTTTTTTTTTTAAGATTTATTTATTTAAGTACTCTCTATGCCCAACAATGGGGCTTGGAACTCACACCCGGAGATTGAGTCTCATGCTCTTACAACTGAGCCAGCCAGGTACCCCTCGATAGAAGTGTTTTTCATCCTCCTAAGAGAGGCGTTTGGTCACATCTTTTCACCTAAATCATTCTCTTTATTTATTCTTATACAAACTCTAATAGGCTAGGTGACCAGTTTCCTAGGAAGGACATTACAGATTATAAACTGGGTAGAAGGGACCCAAAGTCTACTTAATGGAAAAAAGAACTATAAAATGTAGGCATAACTAGGGGGAAAAAAGTCTAGGGCTATGTACTGTAATGCCACATAGACCTGCCTTGTTGGATAATCTTTGTAAACATAACTTTAATAAGTGAATTTATGATCAAGACTAAAAATTGGAGTAAAGATTATTTTGCTTTAGAAGGTAGGTAAATATGAATATATTTTGGATTTTTTCTTTTTTGATAAAAAACAGGTTTTTTCCTTCTTTGAAGTGTTAATCATGGAGAATAAACCTCAGTTACTTTTAAAAATTAGCTACATTATAAATGAATATCTTATTCCCTGTGTACCATATAAATAAGACAGCACTAAACATTATTTTGTTCTAAAATACTAGTGTGGTTTTTAGTTAGCTCCTTTAAACTGCTGATTGTAAGTTATCTTGATATAAGTAAATACTAAGTACTTTTTAAAAAGATTTTTGATCAGTTTACTGTATTTCCCAGAAGTTTAACCTGATACATGGATAAATGTCAGTGGGAAGTAGTAGAAGTAATGCATGCTTTAAAAAAAAAAAAAAAAAAATCCTTATTTTTTGTTAATAAAAATTTTGGGTTTGTTGTCAATATCAAACTTTCAGAGTTGTCTTATTTTAAATAATGAACATTCTGTTGGCATACTGAATGAAAAATGGCCTTTATAAAATGGAAGAATTCCAGATAGTTTACGTTTAGTTTTTGAAACCTCATGCTTGTTTACCAACAGTAACAGGATGTCAGATTTCATCATGGCACACAGCACACTTGTCAACTCTGCTATCAAACATGTATATATTTTTCCACTACTTTTCTAAAGACAGGCTCCTGAGTGTATAGTAAACTGGGCCTGTGAAGTTGGTTCAGCTCACAAGGATCAACCACTTAACTGTATTTTTTTTTAACTTGATTTATTGATGAGGACTAGTAGAAGCTTATTGGAGTGTTGTTTGTTCATGTTTTCTGCCTGTGATACTTTATTTTGATATAATTGAACAAGATAGTATAAATGCCATTTAATGAATAAGGAGCAGTTCAGCTGAACAAGGTTGGAAGCCTAATATCCCTTTATTTTCTTTTAAAGTTATTCCTTATTGATTTTGGTTTGGCCAAAAAGTACAGAGACAACAGGACAAGGCAACACATACCATACAGAGAAGATAAAAATCTGACTGGCACTGCTCGATACGCTAGCATCAATGCACATCTTGGTATTGAACAGAGGTGAGTTTGAGAAATGAATGTGTTTATCAAATCCATAGCAAAAGTCACTAAAGAATTTTTGAAATATTTTAACTAGTTTCTTATGATATATAAAGACGTCTCTTGGCTGAGGATTTGAGGAAACCTGTTAATCCTTTTACCTGTTGGCTTTAGTTAGTGCTGAGAAGCCAATTAAATGAGAGACCTTTTGTTTTCTTTGTTGAAGGTTGTCTCTTGGGGAGAAAATACTGCATGATGGAAAGTTAGCATACAAGCAGTTTTATCTTGTTTATTTTTATTTTCTTTTTGCAGCTGAAGACGGTACTTATTTTCTTAATGCTGATCTTGGACTTTTTATATTTTAGTAGTATAAGTTAAATTTTGGAGAAGAATATATTAGTTATTTATTTTTACAAGGAAAATGTTATTATCTGAGTCCTGAGGGACCAAGAGGGGGTTGGTGGGCCATCTCATGTTCTACCCTTTCACTCCTACATAAATTAATAGGATCTGGATTGAGGTAAACATTGTCATGATCTCTTTGCTTTTTCTAGGTCTTCTGTTTTCTTTTTTTTCCTGGTTTTTCATCTTCATCTTTTATCAGTCAGTTTTGCTCCTTAAAACAAGCACAGAAATGATAAATGATATGCTTCCAGGTTAGGGCGCTTCAAGAGAAGATTTTTTTTTTTTTTTTAAGATTTTATTTATTTATTTATTTGAGAGAGAGAATGAGAGACAGCACGAGAGGGAAGAGGGTCAGAGAGAGAGGCAGACCCCCCGCTGAGCGGGGAGCCCGATGCGGGACTTGATCCCAGGACTCCAGGATCATGACCTGAGCTGAAGGCAGTCGCTTAACCAACTGAGCCACCCAGGCGCCCTCAAGAGAAGAATTTTAAGCTTAGGAAATGTTCAGTGTTATGTGTGTATATATTCATATAGATGCTTAATTAGCTTTAAAATACTTATTTCAGCATCCCTCAAGTTCTTTTTTATAAGCTTCTGCAAAACTTAAAAGTATCCTGCTACTTTGTTCTTCCGTCTTTATTAACTTCATTTAGAAAGTTGCTCAGCTAAATCCTTTTTGCTCTTTAGAAATTAAATTGCAGGCTGTGTTGGATTTTATAATTTTGTATTCTGTGAGAAAATTTTGTTAGACATAACTCTATGAACTTTTTAATTTTTTAATTTATTTTATCTTTTTATTACTTTAAGTACGTTCTTTCACAAGCCACCAAATTGCTTTTTCTCCTTGCTTGGGAAAACTTCTTGTGTACCTGCCTTTCTCTCACATGTTTTCCATAATTCCAGCTCATAACTTCACATTTTCTTTTCTAGTCGCCGAGATGACATGGAATCATTAGGATATGTTTTGATGTATTTTAATAGAACCAGCCTGCCATGGCAGGGACTAAAGGTAAGTGAGACTCCCATTCCCAGTTTTTTGTTTTAAGAATAAAAGTACATATTGGAGATGAACTTTAAGATCCCTTTCAAACGAGGCTTTCTGAGAGTGAATTAACTTTATTTTTTACCTTTTATTGGGCAAATAAAATCTGATCATTTAAGAATTAAGTTAATAGAATCCCAGAGTCAGGCCTAAAGAACAATTTCCTTTGGGACAGTAAGCAGGTACCCATTGGTAACCAGTAGCTTTATCTCAATGGAAATTGACATGGGCTAATTAAAGGTGGAGGCTTTCTCATTTTGATGTGTTGCCAGTATGTTGAAAATGTATACTTTTATGTGTAGTAAAACTGGTTCTTCTAGTAATACTAGCTATCTTAATTATCCTAACACTTGTTTCTATTAATTAGGAGTTTCACCCTGACTTTTGTGAGTCTTAATGATAACTCACCGTGTCCTAGAATTTAAAGGCTACTTTTGATACTTTATTGGTCCTTTAAAGGAAAATGGTCCCTGTATTTATTGAGCATCCGTGAACTAGACAGTTGCTCAGTGCTTGTATGGATAGTTCTATCCAATATGAACTATTTTTACATTGGAAAAATATTTTGACTTCACTTAATAATGTTACTACACTTTATATATAGTGTTACTAAATGGTGGGCACTGTTTTTGTTATTGATCTACTTAACCTTTGCCCTTGTGTTGAATATGGGTTGTGAAAACTCATTTCAGATTTAACTTCACCCATTAAATCATGTTCTTATTAGACTCACCCTTTCTTAACAGCTAAAAATGTTTTTTAAAGTAGAAAACTCATATAAAAAACTAACAGTTTAGGGTTGGGAAATTTTGGTATATTGTACTTTGATTTATTTTTTATTCCAGGTTATGATTTCTCTTGAATCTCAAGTTTACATTTATATCTGGTGGGTTAAGCTAACAAGGTTCTTATTAGTATTGAATAGTATTATTAGTATTGAATATGTCTACGTGGTTTGATTCTTATTTTCCACAGGCTGCAACAAAAAAGCAAAAATATGAAAAGATTAGTGAAAAGAAGATGTCCACTCCTGTTGAAGTTTTATGTAAGGTAAGTGTGCCTGATGGCTTTTTTTTTAATATAAAAAATCCAAGAAGTCTGGAATTTAAACATCCTATTAGGTAGCTATTTGCCATTTTAAATGTATGTTTTGATAATTCTAAGTATCTTTAAGAGTGGCTTGAACATACGGGTCATTTTAAATAAGCATTTTATGTTTCTGGTTTGTTTGGGCCCTATAATCTGTTAAAAATTAGAGGAAGAAGGGGGCGCCTGGGTGGCTCAGTTGGTTAAGCGACTGCCTTCGGCTCAGGTCATGATCCTGGAGTCCCTGGATCAAGTCCCACATCGGGCTCCCTGCTCGGCAGGGAGTCTGCTTCTCCCTCTGACCCTCCCCCCTCTCATGTGCTCTCTCTCATTCTCTGTCTTAAATAAATAAATAAATAATCTTAAAAAAAACAATTGTTAATTTAAAAAAAAAAAATTAGAGGAAGAAGAATAGGGCAGATTACGTTTTCTAGTGGAACCTCACCAATTTATGACAAAATTAGGAAATATTCTCCTTATCTCTAAACCGGTGCCAGTAAGGAAAGGATCTTAACGGTTGTCAGGGACATCAAGGAGTAGAGAAACGAAGGCAGATCACAGCAATCCAAAATAGCCAGTGTCCAACAATATAGATGACAGTTTGAGTCAGGGTTGTTGCCCTGAAATCTCAAACTTTGTTAGAGAAGCCTGTAAGTAGAGAATGGAGAAGTAGCTGTGTCATGATGGATAACCATGGTCTTTTCCATTGAAAGAAAACCACACGGTCATCTCTGAGACAATTGTGTACCCGAAATTATTAGGAAACAGTATATAATTATATAGTATAGTTGGGTGTTAGAAGGGGGAAATGAACATGGTGTTGAAATAGTACTTTGTGGAGGCGGGGAGAGGTGATGTTTTTATGTCTCCCTGTCCACAAATTTGCTTTTCCATTTTCTCTAGATCTACAGTAAAGGAGGGGTTGGGATGGGTAAGAGACTATCATCTTTTCTGAGACTCTTGGGATTTGTTTTAAATTATGAAATACATTTTAGGTGAATGAATAAAATGTTCGTGTGTTATAGTGCACCCAAATAACTTTGAAATCTTATATTTCTGGAAGCAAAACATGTTTTCTATACACTACTATTCCATGCAACATTATGATTCATTTGGATTATTGGAAAAGTCAGCCATTTTTACAGGAAAAGAAAGGGAGGGTTAGTACATTGTCTGCTTCTGGGTTATGTCTTAATTTTGATCTAGAAATAATGAACCTGGGTCTTTCTGGATTAGCCACATAAAACTGATCTGAGGGTGCAGTGAACACAGAATATTAGTATTACTGTAAAATAGTGAGATTGTTTTCAGTCTCATGGTCCACTGGTAACTACTTATTTCATATCTGTAATACTTAGGATATTGGTAATTTTCTTTTGTTAATAAGGTTTTGCCTGTTTTTGTAAGGTAGCAGTGCATGAAGTAAACTATTTGACTTTTAGTTGGCAGTTGTTTAGCTCTATTTATAATACACATAAGAGCAAGTTCATTTGGTATATGCTGCTTACCATTAGCACAGACCATGAAAATATATTAAAAATTTTTAAAGTCATGTTAAGAGTTTAAATAAAACGTACAATATATTTATCACTTAAAAGGTTTCAGCTTTCCATCTCGAACACAGAAGTAGCATAAAAATTATATCTGTATCAATGCAGTGAGTAAAAATAAATGTTGCAAGTATGTCCATTATATCCCACCTTAACCTCCTGCATGTGAGAAATTTCTCAAAATTTGAAGGTTGTGGGAAGAGACTGTCTTTTTAACTTCCCACCCTTCACATTCACATATACTCGAGGCAGGGTGTAGGGATTTTTGTTTAAATTTTTTGCATTTCTACATTCCTACTGGCAAAATCCTTTTTGGTGGTTAATATCTATAGGCTTAAAGGTGTGTTATATGCATTTTTGAGAATCTTTCCTTTAAGAAGCTGAGCATGTAAAAAGTTTATGCCTACAGGTGTACTTATTAATACTGTTTATGAAAGAAAAAAATTTCATCGCCTAAATGTCCAGTTATAGGGAACAAGTTAATTATGATGTATTCACTGGTTGGATATTATGCAGCCATTCAGAAGCTTATGTTGGAAATAACACAGAAGGATAATTGCAATATAATGTTAGTGGAAAAACAGTATGTTATGTATGCAGTATAATAACAATTACGGATAAAAGAAAAGGCAAACCCAATCTTTCCATAGGACAAAGCATTGGATTGATCTGTATCACAGCAGTGGTTGCACTGTATGTTTGTACTCTTGGTGATTTTACTTTTCTGTTTATCTAGGTATATACTATTTCCCCAAAGAAGTAATTACAGAGTTGGGGAGAAAATGCCAGTTCACTGACCTGTTGTGGCAAAGAACCTTACTGGCCTCCATTTGGTCATTTGTTCATTGTTGCCATTGAAGTATTAGACATTGATAAAATAATAACAAGTTGGATATCCAGATTACTTAAGAGTATAATACTGTAGGGAAAGGATCCATGTTTCCCCTGCCAATATTAAAAGATGTACATGATGAGGTAGTCAGGATTTATGAGGATACCAAGTCATATTATAGTTAGTTTAGTTCTCAGATCTTATGGCAAAGTAGTGAAACACTCTCCTCAAAAACCATTTTTACTTGTATTTAAATACATTTATTTTTCTGTCTTAAATAAATTTTTTTGTTTTTTTACTTTGTGTTTTAACTCTTGAACTTTAGGGGTTTCCTGCAGAATTTGCCATGTACTTAAACTATTGTCGTGGGCTGCGCTTTGAGGAAGCCCCGGATTACATGTATCTGAGGCAGCTATTCCGCATTCTTTTCAGGTCAGTTTTTAAGGTGTTTTTAAGACTGTAGACTCTAGTGAGGGAAATTAGTTAAATCCACCCAACACATCTGTTCTGACAGGTAGCAAATTAAAGTGGGTCTAAACCCATATGAATAAAATCTTAAGAAACTGAGTTTGGAAAAAATAATAAAAGAAAGAAACTGAGTTTGGCATGTTTCCATTTGTGGTGCAAATGTGCTTGAAATTATTTTAGTTTGGGATGGAGAAACAGTTGAGTCAGACACAAAGTAGAATCTAACTTTTCCACGATAATTGCCATTCATACTAGATAGAAGTGATTATTGGTGGCCCTTGGAACTCTCCAGCTTTGCTACAGAACCCTATTTAATAACAAAATTAACAGCAATTAAAATAGTTACGGGGTCTATGATTGTGTGGAGACAGGCCTCAGACTCTGGGGTTCCCTAGGTGCAACCCAGAATTGGTCTTGAGCAGAGGGGGAAGTAAAGTACATGTGGCCCGAAATCTTAGTTGGAAGAGGATTAAGAATTGGGGGTAATTCTCTAACCCCAGAAGAGTCTTCTTTCCAAGCCACCAGCATACACATCTCCCCCACAAGCTTACATTCTTATACTTACTCTGATTTGTTCTTAGAAGGTACCTCCTATTTGGATGGTTCCCTAGATAATTGACAGCTTGACTCCATGTTTTTGTTCATGCTGCTGTTCATTGCCACTCCCCTGCCTCTTTCAAGAAAGTAATAAAGTCGGCTTCTTTTTTGAAAAAGGAGATGATTTATTCTTAATGAATACATCAGACCGAAGTAGTGACATCATTTTCCTTCAATTGTGACTTGTAAAAAGTGGAATTAATGAACTGAACATTTAAAAAGTCATGTATATGGAATGAAATCTTTTAGAAATTACCATACTTAAGAGAAAACACTAACTACCATTTCCTTAAAAAGTGCCCTCACTGTCTTGAAAGCTCAATGGAGTATTTAACTAGACTGCATTATTAAAGGATTAACATATACCATACTGTGTTTTACAGGACCCTGAACCACCAATATGACTACACATTTGATTGGACAATGTTAAAGCAGAAAGCAGCACAGCAGGCAGCCTCTTCAAGTGGGCAGGGTCAGCAGGCCCAAACCCCCACAGGCAAGCAAACTGACAAAACCAAGAGTAACATGAAAGGTTAGTAGCCAAGAACCAAGTGACGTTACAGGGAACAAATTGAACACAAAATTGGGTAATTCATTCATTTCTAACAGTGTTAGATCGAGGAGGTGGTTTTAAAATAGTAAAAATTTGGCTCTGTGTTTTTAAAAAAAGACGTCCTTGGAAAATTTGACTACTAACTTTAAACCCAAATGTCCTTGTTCATATATATATGTATATGTATTTGTATATACATATATGTGTGTATATATTATATCATTTCTCTTGGGATTTTGGGTCATTTTTAACAACTGCATCTTTTTTACTCATTCATTAACCCTTTCCAAAATAAATATTTGGTGTTGGGAATATGGTATAATCAATCAATCCAAAATCCTAGACCTAACACTTGTTGATTTTTAATAATGAATCTGGTTAGCTATGGTATTTGGACTTTGTTTCAGACTAACAGTGTTAAGAATTTTTTTCTGCATGTTAAATGCTTTAGCATTTAAAATGGAAAAATGTGAACATGATCTAATTTCCAGAGGTGAGTCTGGCATTGCCCCCAAAATGTCTATCTTCTCAGTTGCAGAGCATCTCATTTGCGCTCTTAAATGCTCAAATAACTGAAAAGCTCGACACATCCTTCCTAGTCAAAAACCAGATCTCTCGTTTAGTTGCGATCTAACTATGTAAGGTTCTTATTTGTCTTGGGCTTTATTTTATAAAATCTTGCAAATACTCAGGTTCTGGGGGTTTGTTGTGGAATTGAATTCTTCAGTTAGGCTTTGCAAATTGGGGGAAAAAACTGGGGCAAATGCCACTGAACTGCTAGTCTGTTTCCTTTCTGTCTCTGGCACTCTTGGTGCTACTGAGGAGTAGAACTGTTAGGGCACAGCTCCAGTCTTGTCACTGTTGCCGTACAGTTCGACTCCTGTGTTTCATGGTTTTTGTTTTTCTTCCCCCCCCCCCCCCCCCCCCCTTCTGGGGCTTACCTCCTGATACCTGCCTACTTTCTGGAAGTGGTGGGCAGGTAAGGTTTGGTCTTTGGTTTCTAATTATTTAATTTCTGAATGACTGCTCTAGTCTGAACTTAGTCGTCTTTGGTCTATATTTTTAGAATTGTATTTTTAAAATTTTGTAATTTAAAAATAGACTCTAATCTGAGGATACTTTTCAAGAAGTATAATTCACTGATGTCATCCTCATCCCAGCAGCTCATCTATTAGGAATGAAGTTGAGATTCTTCTCTTCCATGTTTCTGTATTTGGGAAGGATTCACAGTTGAAGGCTTAATGTAATGGGGCTTCTGAGATGATGAAATTTCAGCTCAGGATAATAAACACTAATGCTTGCCTCTGGGTCTCAGTTGGGACTTAAACTTGTCCCTTGAGTGTTTTAATCATTGTATGACTAATCACAGTGCCATGCCCTTAATGAGGTAGGTTGCTAGCTAGTGTCTCTGAGAAATGGTCCTACCAGTGTAATGTTCTAAACTTAGGACTTTTATTATACCTGAATCTATAGGGTATTTGCTTCTTTTCATAAAATGAAACCAATTTTTGCCTAAAGCTAGCTGGGATAATAGGATCATCACGAGTTGCAGTTTCTAGAACTAAAATTAGATTGAAATCTCCTCTGACCTAGAACATTTCACTTCAGGCATTCAGCAGCTTTCAGAAAGAATTCCCTTATTTTGAGTTAGTTCCATTGTTAGTTTACTGTGTGTCTCTTTCTCAATAAACAAGCAGAATTTTTGTCCTGCCTTATCTAGGTCTTAAAGATGAGAAGTTGGATCCACTGAGTTAGTATGTTTCCTTGGAAAGAAATTGTAATTAAACTTAAGTTTAATCCTTAATTTTGTAGTGTAACTATTTTTCATAAAAGCAACTTAAAAATCTTAAAAGATGTTTGGGGAGCCTGGCTGGCTCAGTCAGTAGAGCATGTGACTCATAATCTCAGGGTCATGAATTCAAGCTCCACTTGAGGGTAGAATTTACTTTTTAAAAAAAGAAAAAGAAAATCTTACAGAATTTTCATAGCAGTGTTAGACCCAGGGTTTATACAAATTATTATATAAACACCAACTTGTAAAATTTTGAATAATTGGACTTTCCCATAAAATGTACTTACCATTGACTACTTTCAGAGAAACATTTTGAGGTAGTATATTTTGATTGCAAGTGAAATACTGCTTGCTCCTAAAATGTGCCATGCCATAGAATACAAACAAAGTTGTATTTGATCTTTGACTTCTCGAAAAGATTTATTTTGGTTATAGAGTTTAGTTCCCCAAACCAATACCACATGAAACCCCCTTTGTATAAAGCTGTGACAGTATAGCAGGTTTGAGAGTGGCAAGAAATGAGTATAGGGAGCCTGTTTCTCTAACCCCAATCCCATTACCCGTGTCACCTGTTAAGAAATTTTTATTAATTCTGGAGTTTGAAGACAGTCGCTCTAGGTTACTTATTTCCTGATTTTCAATCTCTAAATAATCAGGGTATTTAAAAGCATATTCTCTCAGGGTCCGCTACAGTAGTTTTTTATTCAGGGGAGAGCTCATGCAGCTCAGCTATTTGCTGATTCCAAGAAATCCTTTGAGTGATGATGATAACATTATAGTACATTTTTCTAATTAAAATTTTAGAAGATGCTTTTTAAATACATCATACCAGTTTTCGTTCACGGAGTTACACTCTCAGAGGTTTCCCACAGAGAATTGAGTTTCTTAAATGAATCATCAACAGGTAGAGCTATATATTGCAGGAATATCTATTCCTGGAAAAATCCCCCAAATGGTGGTATCGACTAATATTTTATATTATTATTTCTATTTTTTGAAAAATGTGTATCAAATGGTTCTTCCATGGAAAAGTGTAAGTTGTTTCAGCAGTTCACTGAGAATGTCCAGAAAGACTCTTTAAAGTCTGCCTTACTCAGCTAAGATGAGCTTGTTGTGTGTAATAGACTTCTTTCCTAATTACTTCTCTAAAGAAAAGGTCTTTTGAAATATTCCATTCCAAAGCCTATCAAAAGACTAAGAAACAAGGCATTTCTCATATAAAGCCCACTATGATCTGTACTAATTTGCAGTGCTCATGTGCCACAAGATTATAATTACTGTTTTTATGCATATTAAAGAGAAAAATAAAAGATTCACATCTGAGGCACTTTCAAATTCATTTCACTTCCTTTTCTTCAACTATATGTGATTATCAGGAAAGTACCTTTCAAGACATTTAAGAAGTACTAAAGGAAAAGGAAATATTTTTAGGACTTCAGAATCCAGTTAAGATCACCATTTCTTTAGTTGAGGTCAGAGATGGGGAGAATTTCCTAAGGTAGTGAAGCCAAAGTTGGATCCTCACATTTCTTTTCTCATCATCTTAATCCATCTGTTCACTACTCCAGCCATTGATACAAAGCATAAATTTATCATAATATATGTGGGTGTCAAGTTGTTAACAAAAGATAGAAATATTTTTCCATCACATTCTCCTACCATGTCCATGGTCCTCCTTGAATTACCTTCCAGTATTTACTGGGATTCACCTACCATTTCTGTCTAGCTTAACTTTTTCTGACTTCACCAATTGCTGCTAGGAACGTGGCTGGTCACTCAGCAACGTAACCCAAATCACAGGGGAAGACCTTGAAATATCTGGAGACTGATCTTCTCTGAATATACTCAATCTAAAGAAGTGCCAGGAAGCTGCATCTGCTTGCTGAAATTTTTGTCAGCTTTTGTCACGGTGGACAGTACAACTGGAGAGAAAAGAGCTCAGTACCCCAACAGGAAGTGAAGAGGAGTGTGCAAGAATTTGATTTGTGGTTATCTGAAACCCACATCTCCAAGGCTTGCTGGACCTATCAAAAACTTCACCTTGTCAGATTGGATGGATACCACAACAGTCAGAAGACCTAGAAGAGCACAGTGTTGCTGTGACTCAGTGATGTATAATGCAGACCATCTACCAGTTGGGAAAGGAATCAGTTGTAACAGGTATTTTAAAGTTCAACAACCTCAGAATTCTGTAATAGGGAAGACGAAAGAAATCAGATCATTAGTCTGGTTTTCTTAAATGCAGTTTAGCGGTAATATGTATCTTGTATACTTAAGTTGTCATTGATTTGTAGTGATAAAAATAAAATCTATTTTCTTTCTTTCCCAACTTTTAATACATTTTTAGTTTAGTTAGGAAAAGTTATTGTAGTTTTTTTTCTTTAACTTTTATAGTGCCAGTCTGATTCAGAATTGTCCAAGCTTGATTCTGATTTTTGTGTAACCAAAAAACCCACACAGGCAAGTTGTGGAAAAGTTTGCCTGATAAATGACATTGCATGGTGAAGATGGATCTTGTCTTCACATTACTTTTAAAAAGTTAGTTTTCTACTGTGAAAGGATCCAAAAATTTCAAAAGCCCATCACAAACTTCTAAGCCATACTATTATATAAATAGTTCTTTGAACTAGTTTGTGGTTCTATTTAAAAAAAAAAAAAAAAATCAAGGACATCTGAAGTGAATTCACAATAAGAGCTGATATATAATCTTCAGATTTTGGAGTAAGGGGGTAGACTCTCATTAGTTAAATAAACATTTTTTTTTCTTTTGCAGATTTGAAAAGAAACTTAAGTGTAGCTATTAACTCAGTGGTCCCAGTGATCAACTCTGTTTTAACTTTGTTTTTCCCTCTTTTTTTTAGGAACAAAGGGATCCATTCCTTATTTTAACTGTTGTTGCAGTGAAGATGGGTTTTGGGACTTTTAAAAGCCAGAAGCCAGGAGAGACCACCTAAACTACAAGATAAAAACCAAGGACTCATGCACACTGGGAAGAAGAATGCTTAGCCCTTGAAGATTGAATGTTGAATACCTGCTGAATGCTCCCACTGAGATTTTTCTTAAACTTCAGTAACATCTTAGGACAAATCACTGGAGAAACACTGATCTCTGGGTGGAGTATCCTACCATTGGCCGATCTGAAGAGTTAAATCTGGATTTGACTGCTCTATTCTACCGGGAATATTTTTAGGCTAGCCTTTGTCTGATCCCTAAGCAATTGTAATCATTAATTGACCCAGGAATTTCTAAAATATCAGATTAAAAGATGAACCAGATAAAATTCTTATCTAGATACAATTTTTATCCCTATTAAAGACACAAGAGTTTCTAATATTTTGACTGACAATATAACTTAAGCTTTCTTTTTAGTTAGTGACAGTGGTTTCCATTTTAAAGCTGTTTGGATATTCAGCGTAGTAATTAAATGGCTCAGTATAATGTAATTGCATAGCAAGCTATGATAAATCATTTTAGTAGTTGCATAAACATTTTTCTTTATCGTATTTAAGAATAATTGCGGGACTTCAAATGCTCATCAGGGTAAGGGTCATTACAGTTTAGCTAATTCATAGTTTTAATCTGCTTTGTAATAATCTGTATTTTAACATTGGAATTAGGTTACAGAATATGGTCTTACTTTAAAACTTAATTCAGGTTTGGTTTGACAGCCTTTTCTTCTTATGCTTACCTTGGTATTTCTGTTTAGTAATACATACCAAATAGATAATACTCCTTGTGGCGAAGCACATTTTTAGAAAGTTTCGTTTTTCATTTTTGGCATTTGCTTTATGAATTTAGTACTTGGACAGGCAACAAAGGTCTATTTTGTACCAGCTCCGTTAGTCAAGGTAGAGAGAGAAAAGTGTACGACACTTGTTTGTCCTCAGGTCTTTAGCCCAATATGTTTTTAAGTGGATGAAGATGACTTTCTGCCCTCGGATGGAAAAACTCCTAGTTAACAAGTGAGACAGTATTAACCAAGAAATGACATATCAATGTGTGGTATTATCCTGGAAAAGGGGGGCATTTATGCATGCAAAGCAAATTATAGAAGCATATTATTTATCGCACAAAGCCCACTGGAGATGGTCCAACAAATGTTTGAGAAGCACAAAAAAGGGAGAAGTTTATGATTAACAAAAACATGGTTTCAGTGCTGAAGAAGTGAGAGATCAGAGTGAGCTAGAAAGAACAATAATGAGGCAGCTATAAGAGTTTGCAAGGGGGTGCACCAAGGGGCACAGACACCTCTAAGGATGGCTGTTGGTGAGAGGAGGTGGCACTGATGGGATTTTCATGTCGAGAAGTAGGCGTATTTCCTTTCTGCTTTTAGCCATAGATAAAGCTTGTAGGTAATAGAGATCAGCATTTCCTCTAGTGGTCTTTAGCCACAGATGAGACATGCAGCTATTATTACCTGAAGCTGTTTTCTATTCAAACCTGCCTGGATGTGGAAGTCTTAGAGTCTAATTGTGTGGGAGGAGGGTAGTAGTTATATGGTGGGAAGGCTTAAGAAATAAATAAAGCCAAAAAAAAAAAAGCCTCACTTGTTTATATTTTCAAATCTGGGGCAAAACCTCACCTTTTTAATGTAATTGATGGAAGTAAAGAATTTTGAAAGATATATATGGTTTCTGTATAAAAATCATACACTTAACCAAGTTTGTGTTCTATGGAATAATTCAGTTATGTGTTGAGTACATTTATTATTAAAGCTTATTGTTCCTTATTTGTATCAGAAATAATGTGCAGAAAGGTTCCTGGACATAGTATGATTAAAACATATATACTTTCTAATTTTTAAGGCAAAGCAATCTATTTTTCATTCATTTGATAAATATTTGAACACATAACATGCTCTAGGTATTAGAGATACAGAAGTAAACAAAACAGGCTCATTGGAATCACCAGTAATTCTCTGCTTGAGAATTGTATGCTGACTGGGAAGACTGATTGACTGTATACCACTCCTACCTAAAGGCATCTAGAACAGAAAAGGGTTTTTTCTTGTTTTAAAAAATTGACCTAGTCATTTTCAAATAGATGAAAATAACACAAGTCACCGTTCTAAAGTAATTATTAGCTCAGTTTCACCCAATTTCCCAATTTTGGGTGTAGTTTTTTAAAAAAATACATTTTTTAATTTGGAATTTTAACATTCTTCTTTCTGTTTTGATTTTTTTTTTTTTTTTTTAAACAGGTTTCTAAGCATGAATCGAGGAACAGAAGAAGCAGAGCAGATGATCGGAGCAGCATTTGTTTCTCCCCAAATCTAGGAATTTTAGTTCATATGTACACTAGCCAGTGGTTGTGAACAACCATTTACTTGGTGTAAAGAACTTAATTTCAGTATAAACTGGCTCTGGGCAGCATTGGTGATGCCGTGTCCCGAGTTGTAGCCGCTGTAATTGTGAATATTAACTGAGATAGTGAAACATGGTGTCCAGTTTTCTATTGCATTTTTTCAAGTGGAAAAGTTAACTAAATGGTTGACACACACAAATTGGTGGAGAAATTGTGCATATGCCAATTTTTTTGTTAAAATCTTTTATTTTGAACTATACTGCTTTGAGATCTCATTTCAGAAGAACGGCATGAACAGTCTTCAGCCACAGTTGTGATGGTTGTAAATGCTCACAATTGTGCATTCTTAGGGTTTATCCATCCCTGGGGTTTGCAAGTTGTTCACTTAAAACATTCTTAAAATGGTTGGCTTCTTGTTTGCAAGCCAGCTGATATGGTAGCAACCAAAGATTCCAGTGTTTGAGCATACGAAAGACTCTGCCTGCTTACCTGTGCTAGAAATAACAGCATCTAAAAGTGAAGACTTAAGAAAAACTTAGTGACTACTAGATTATCCTTAGGACTCTGCATTAACTCTATAATGTTCTTGGTATTAAAAAAAAAACATATTTGTCACAGAAATTTAGTTAACATCTTACAACTGAACATGTATGTATGTTGCTTAGATAAATGTAATCACTGTAAACATCTATATGATCTGGGATTTTGTTTTTATTTTGAAATGGGAGCTTTTTTGTTTACAAGTTCATTAAAAACTAAAAACTGTTTCTGTAAGGAAATGAGATTTTTTTTTAACAACAAAAATGCCTTGCTGACTCACTATGAAATCAAAATCTCCCCAATTTTTTAATAGACTACTTCAAGCCATTTGTTACATATACTATTCCTTTGCAAATCATTTTAGATTTAGTGTTACAACTTTTCCTCAGATTTTTTTATTTAATTTTTTTTTTTTTTTTTTTTTTTTTTTTTTGGTGGTCTGAAGGGGAAAGGCATTCTTTCATTTTTCCTGTTTTAGTGACTTGCAGGCACAGTCCCTAGTGCTGCAGCTGCCAGGGCTTGGTGGTGTAACTCCTGCAGCCTCAGACTACACAGCTGGACTGATTTTGATTAAGAATGAAAGCGTTAAAGGGTTTAACTACCATTTTGTAGTTTTTCTTCAAATTCCTTGTTAATTGGAGTTGAGCAGGTTGATTCTTAACCTTGGAGAGCATCCCACCAGGTGAGGTTCATGTGATTGCTGACCCTCCCTAAGCCCCTGTTCTTTTCCCTCAGTTATCTGCGCTTCCTCTCAATCTTAAATGCACTCTTTTCTTGCCTCTCTCTGACCCAAGAGAAAGAAAGCTTACTGACAGTAATTCTTTAAATAGTGTAATTTATTCATTTATAGCATGTCAGGATAAATTAAAAGAACCTTTGTCTGAAAATGCTGCCAGAAGCCTGTTGTGTAAATGTAGGTATTTTGTAAAAATAACCTTGAAACTGTACATTGACACATGTTTGGTCAGATTGTGTCAGGTTTAAGTTTTATTTCTTTTTTCTTTTTTAAAACTACTTTAGCAATAATTAATCCCATGATTACCACATTCTGCTATTAAAGGGTCTGTTAGCACCATCACACTGCAGAAATCTTAATGAGTGCGAACTTTTGGGGTAGGCAGCTTATTTGTTTCTTTTCTATCCACCCCTGTCAGTTAAGGTATTTGTTTCTTGACTAATAATAAACCCTTTGATACTTTTAGCCAGAAATCAGTCTCATAAAGCTATTTTTGAGTATAGTTTGTGTAAAATAAAAATGTTTAGCTTCGGTAATAACTTTTCCAAGCTGAACTCCCTCTAGCAAGATATTTTTCAGTGCTTTTATTTACTATGCACTTAGACTATGCACTTTTTCTGAAATATTTTTGTAACACTTAACTTTTTTGTATTTTTGCCATTTGAAAAGGTTGTGGTGTAGTTGGTCTGTAATTAAGTTGCAGATTTAAAACTGCTGTTAGCTTTGTAAATCAAAATATAGGTGTTTTTGTCCTGGTATATCTTCATTCCATCTGCAGCTGGAGCTGGAATCCCATTGATCTTCTAGCTACCATTCATTTTCTTCACAGTTCACAAAAGAAGAATGTGAAATTCAGTGAATGCTGTTACTAATCCTGTCGGGAGATGAATCTCATTTCACCAAAATTAAATTATCTTTTTCCACTACAATGATGATACAAGTTGAAGACACATCACTCTGAAATTGGAAGACCTCACCACTTAAGGCTCCGCAGTGGCTTACCCAGCTGAACTCTAGGTTACTACTCTACTTTGTTCACCCATTGGGGGGTACAGTTTTTTTTAAATGTTGGGAGATGGCCATTCTAACTACTGTTGAATGTCTCTGTTTTGGGAAGGTATAACAAGAAAATAAAAAAGAATATATATGAAGGGAGAGACTGGTTATCTCCTCCCATATGGTTGTGCTCATGCTCCTATGGCCTACAAATGACATTTTGGAGGTTGTGTTTACTATTATTTTCATCAACAAACAGCAAGAGATTTTCCTATTTCTGCTAGTCCTTGCAACACTATTAAAATGTTTCAAGCAGAGAATACTGTAATGATTATAAACTTAATTACATTGTAATAAAAATACCAAGCAAGATTTTAGAACCCAAGGCAATAAGCTAGTGTTTCCTAACATTTGCTGAAATACAGGGTTCTAGCTTAAGTAGAATGAACTGTGGGACTTCTAAGAAGGGTGCCCTAGACTCCCAGCTCTTGAAAATTCAGTCTGATACAGACTCTTCCTGAGCAAATGAATATGTAGCAGTATTTTAGGTTTTAAAGGGATAACCATTTGATCAAAATGTGAGTAGGTCTGTATGAGGTGTAGCAAAGTGTCAACAATTTATCTCAGGTATGCTGTCCCCCTTTAAAGTGAGACTGTTGAGACTATACCTTGACAGAGTTGTTTTGTGCATTTTTTGAAATGGCCGAAGATGATGATGAATGAAGAGTAAGTTGATCTAATCCGGCTGTGCATTACCAAACAGCACATTGTTGAAGTGAGATGACTTGTTTTCTCAACTGACTTGTTAGATCAGTTTTGAGGACATAGGCAAAAGTAATGAAAATGTTGAGCAATGGGAGAGCTATTAAACTTAGCTGACCGAGGCCTGTTTCAAGTTGTGCTCAAATGGCATTGTGTCTTGCTGAGACTTTGGACCCACAGTGACTAGAATTTCACAATGAGAAGGAAAAGCAAGTTGGAGAGATCTGGGAATTCACACTTCATTCAGTTGTTGGGTCTCTGCTCTTTTTCAGCCTGGCAGGGTGAACTAGTTCATTCTACCCTTTGCCTTTACCAAATCAGAGCCCTTGAAGAGGTTTTTTTTTTTTTTTTTAAGATTTTATTTATTAGGGAGCACAAGGAGGGGGAGAGCTACAGGGAGAGGGAGAAGCAGGCTCCCTGCCAAGCAGGGAGCCCGATGCAGGGCTCGATCCCAGGACCCCGGGATCATGATGTGAGCCGAAGGCAGACGCTTAACCGAACCACCACTGAACCACCCAGGCGCCCCTGGAAGAGGTTTTTTTGAGGAACTGCTACTATTGGCACAGTGTACACCTATCTGGATCAAAAATTATGAAGACATGTTTGTAATGGTGATGGTTTTAAGTACTGGGAGCAGTTCATTGATGTCAGTACCACCCAAGACCTGAGCCAGAGCACCTGACTCCTTAAATGACTTCTGAATGGGAAGAAGTGTAAGGTGGAGATGGATGAAGTGTTAAGTGACCAGTAAGTTAGATCCATGTCCTTCATAGTGAGGAGGCCAACCAGGGTATGTATGAGTTGTTAAAAGGAGTGTAGATAAATGAGGGGGGGCAGATCACTGGGGAGCAGCAAATGAAAAATCTGAAATACAGGACTAGGTACAGAAGGTAGAGAACTGCTGCAGGACCATAAAGGAATGGATACAAATCAAGTGCTCTTTAGAAGGATCAGAGAGTACTCTGAGGAATCAAATGGAGGTTGGCAACACATTTAAGCTGTAGGGAGACCAGGGCCATTCCATGAGAGCAAAAGGGTGTGGAAAACCTGTGAATAGGAAACTTTATTCAGAGTCCAGGTAAAGAGACTTTTACAATTCACTTTGATACAAAAACTGGGGGAGGATTAGATTATCCATTGGTAGTGAAAAAAGGGTAGTGTGGAATCTGCAGGTTATGCCCTATTCTGTCAAAATCACGAAAAATCCTGAAGCATCTTACTTACCAAAGGAGACATTTCAGAGGAATTTATGGTTCAGGTCCAATTCTCAGCTCTCCCAACATAGTGTCTTATTTGGAAGAAGTGGGGAGAGATTCCATATTAGGATGAAATTTAGCAGCTGGTGTGAAACTACAGAGTGCTGATGCCCCAAAGCCACTTTTGCCTATAGCAAAATTTAGGTGTGTTTATATACATTTCTTTGGTGCCATTGAAGATTTATTTTAGACTGGGAGAGTCTTAAGCAGACTGACTGAGCGCAGAGCCTGATGGTAGGCTTAATCCATGACCCTGAAATCAGGATCTGAGCTGAAACCAAGAGTCACGTTTAACCAACTGCACCACTAAAGATAATAATACAGGGGCACCTGGCTGGCTCGGTAGAGCATGTGGCTTTTGATTAACACAGATTGTGAGTTTAAGCCTACCATGTTGGGCGTAAAGCTTTAAGAAAGTTAATACGGGTTTTAGCTTTAGTCTTGGGTTTTGTTTTGTTTTTTTAATTTATTAGGGACACAGCGAGAGAGGGAACACAAGCAGGGGGAATGGGGGAGGGAGAAGCAGGCTTCCTGGTGAGCAGGGAGCCCAATGCGGGGCTCCATCCCAGGACCCTGGGATCATGACCTGAGCCAAAGGCAGATGCTTAACGACTGAGCCACCCAGGCGCCCCTTTGTTCTTGAGTCAAGGAAATTTTTGTTCCTTTTCATTGATAAAACCATGACTCGCACAGTTATCCACTAAATATCATGGTTCAAATATTAAGGCCAGAGTAGGTCATCTCAGTGAACTGAATCAATACCTGGGTTTTATGTAGGCCTTTAGTCTACAAGGTGCTTCTTTTTTTTTTTTTTTTTTTAAAGATTTTATCTATTTATTCATTAGAGACAGAGAGGCAGAGGGAGAAGCAGGCTCCCAAGGAGCAGGGAGCCCGATGCGGGATTCGATCCCAGGACCCTGAGATCATGACCCGAGCCGAAGGCAGACGCCCAACCATCTGAGCCACCCAGGCGCCCTACAAGGTGCTTCTTAACCTTTTGTTTTTGTTACTTCTGTATCATTTAAGGGGCACCTGGCTGGCTTGGTCAGTAGGGCATGCCACTCTTGATCTCAATTGTGTGAGTTCAAGCCCCACGTTGGGCATAGAGTTTACTTAAATTACGAGAGTAGTACAGAGAGGGACGCCTGGGTGGCTCAGTCGGACAAAAAAAAAAAAAAATAGTACAGAGATACCCCATTGTGCTCAACATTGTTTACATTGTTGTTTACACTGTACCCCTTTATTGTTCCTGCATCTTCTCTTTAAACCTGCACTTCTAACATTTTTACTTATTGTAGAAAGAGCCGGGGGAGTGGGGGCGCGATGCAGAGAATCCTAAGTGAGCTCGGTGCCCAGTGCAGAGCCCAATGTGGGGCTCCATTTCATAACCCTGAGAACACGACTTGACCCGAAATAAGAGATGCTTAACTGAGCCACCCAGGCACCCCTGTACCTAAATATGTTAATGTAGGTTTTTTTAAGAACAGACATGCTCATACTAACCATGGTACAATCCTCAAAATCGGAACATTTTAAGATTGACCCAATGTTCTAGTCCAGCCTGTTTCATCAGTTATCCCAAGTGTCTTTCATAACACTTCTTCAAATTGTCCAGGATCGAACACAGGGGCCATTTATTGTAGTTAGTTGTGCCTGGGTAGTGTTTTTTCATTTGGAACAGTACCTCACCCTTTTGTCTTTCATGACTTTTTGTATTTCATGTGTGTGTGTGTGTGTGTGTTTTGTTTTCCAGCTATGTTCACTGAGGGCCTGGAACCCCTGCTACTACAGTAGCCGTGAGCACACCTGAGCACCCAGATCTTGATTTCTAAATGCTGAAAGGAGCCATGGCTCCTTGGAGAAATGTCCAGCTTTAGGGCTGGGGTAGAGAAAATAAGATGAACCTGGGACATTCTGATTTGCCAGGAAGAAAGGAAATCTCAAAAAATGATGAGTGCATGTCAGAACACTGGAGCCACTCAAAAGATTCTTACTGGTCAACTGTGTATCAAGTCGATTATGAAAGTATTGATTACAACTATATTCATATAAAAATGAGGAGCAGGGAAAGCTTTTAAAAGAACATCAACTAAGAAAATAATGCATTTGAAAAATCATTTTACTAAAGGGAGAAAGTGCAAGTTTGATGAGCAGGAACATTTACATTGTCCTAAAAGTGTTAACTTGCCATGTAATAATATGCATTACTTGCCAGGGGACATTCTAAAAAATCCCCAACCTGGACACGCAGTTGGAGAGGTGGTATGATCATCCCCATTTTAAAGATTGAAATACTAAGTTTCATAGAATGTCTTTGAAAATTAAGGAATTTGAATCCATAAAGAACTTTACAGCTGTCAAAATTCTGTGCATCATCTGACCATCTTTTTAACAATTCATGAAACAGTTACTGGGCGCCTGGGTGGCTCAGTTGGTTAAGCGACTGCCTTCAGCTCGGGTCATGATCCCAGGGTCCTGGGATTGAGTCCCACATCGGGCTCCCTGCTCTGCGGGGAGCCTGCTTCTCCCTCTCCCACTCCCCCTGCTTGTGTTCCCTCTCTCGCTGTGTCTCTCTCTGTCAAATAAATAAATAAAATCTTTAAAAAAAAAAAAAACAATTCATGAAACAGTTACTATCTTTCCCGTTAGAAAAGAATTGAGAAGGGATGCCTAGGTGGCTCAATCAGTTAAGCATCTGCCTTTGGCTCGGGTCATGATCGCAGGATCCTGGGATCAAGTCCCGCATTGGGCTCCTTGCTCAACGGGGAGCCTGCTTCTCCCTCTGCCTTCTGCTACCCCTGCTTGTGTCCTCTCTCTCTGACAAATAAATAAAATCTTAAAAATTAAAAAAAAAAAAAAATTGAGAAAACGGTTACTCAAGATACGGCATCTGTTAAGTTTTACAGAGCCAGGCCTGAAACCTGATTTCCTTTAGTTTTTCTATGGTTAGACCTGGTGTTCTTCCCTTTTTAAATTTTATCACCATTTGAAAACCAGAGGTTGCTAATATTAACCATCATTTATTGAATGCTATATGCCAGGCACCTTTCCAAGTATGTTATGTCTATTAATTTGCCTAATTGTCCTAGCTTCCCAATGAGGTAAGTCCTGTCTCCGTTTTACTTTTGTGGATCCTG